CAGTTCATCTGCGTGCATTATATATAATTAAGTGTGTCAAAAACCATTACGGAACATCATGAATAGATAATTAAGTGACCAAATTAATAGAAGTTCATCATCACATTAAAACCAAAGTACATACATAGTTCTCATTGAACAACATATAGCTCTCCGTAGCATCTAATTTAATTAATTAAACCATACATTGAAACTATGCAAAACATTTCAATGCAAAAACAAATGCGATCATAATCACAACCAAGATAAATATTGATCGAACAACATAATGATACCAAGCCTCGGTATGAATGGCATATTTTCTAATCTTTCTAATCTTCAAGCGCATTGGATCCATCTTGATCTTGTGATCATCGACGACATCCGCAACATGCAACTCCTATATCATCTTCTCCTCCTTAATTTTTTTATTTCTTCCTTCAAGAAATTGTTTTGTTCTTCAACTAAATTTAACCTCTCAACAATAGGGTCGGTTGGAATTTCCGGTTCACATACCTCCTAGCTAAATAAAATCTATGTCACGTTGGTCGGCATAATTGTCATAAATAATAAATGAACCAAATAGTTATAAAATATAATATATATACCACATCCGAATCATAGACAGGACGAGGGCCGACGGAGGCGGATAACAAAACCATCGCACTATATAATAAGAAGCAATAATAAAAGTAAGAAAATTATACAAGTATCTATCTAAACATACAAGTAAGAATTTTTTCCTCTCAGAAAGAAGATAAGAACAAGAGGCTCACCATGGTGGTGCCGGCGACGAGATCGGCGTGGGCAATCGACGGTGGTGAAGACGGGGACGGGACATGACAGACCGCTAAATCTAGACAAATATTGAGGAAAATGGAGCTTGGAGGTCGAACTTGGAGAGGAGAAAGCTTAAGTAGTGTGGCTCGGGCATTCCATCGAACACCTCATGTGCATAGGAGGTGAGCTAGAGCACCACAAAGCCCTCCCCTCGCCAGCCAGAAAAAACAGAGCAGTGTAGAGTGCTCTGCTCGCAGGCGACGGGGTATATATAGGCACATCATTGGTCCCGGTTCATGGCTTGAACCGGGACTAAAGGACACCCTTTGGTCCCGGTTCAAGCCACCAACCGGGACCAATGGTGGTGGGCCAGGAGCAAGGCCCATTGATCCCGGTTCATCCCACCAACCGAGACCAAAGGGGCCAGACGAACCGGGACCAATGCCCCCACGAGGCCCGGCAGGCCCCCTGGCCTCACGAACCGGAACCAATGCCCCCATGGGTCCCGGTTCATGACTGAAGCGGGACTAATGGGCTTATCTGGCTTGAACGAAAGCCATGTTTTCTACTAGTGTTTTGCATATGTTTACGGATGGATACTTGATGATGCGCTCGGTTCATGCCGTTGCGGATAGTTACCTTCTCTTGCTGATTTCCCCAAATCATGCACGTAGCTATTTTAGTATCGGTTAGGCAACCCCCTTTGTGAAAAGTATATATGTATGTCACCTTTTGTGTGAGTGAAATGACCATCAGCATTGTACTGGACCATATGCCCTTTGTACTAAATTTGATGTTTTCTACTGAACCGTATTTAACTTCGTAATGCATTTTGATTCTTTGTACAGGATTAATGCTTCCCTGAGAAACAACATGCGCTGATCATTGCCTTAGACAGTCACGATGCACCAAGGCGCTTCCTACTGGATTACTATTAACAAGTGTTGGCTTCCCCATGTGTCTGTGAAATCCTAATGCTGCATCAATGGTCTTAGTGTTTTCTTATGTATCTATTTGCCGCCACTCTACCTCTTTCTCTTTCTGTACCACCTTCATTGTAGTTATAGATGCAACGTTTGGTCGCTTGATGGCTTTATTACCAAGTTGTCAGACATAAGGTTGGACTGCTTTGAGTTTTAATTATGATGAAAATGCCCATTGGATTGTTGCATCCTCGTGTTATTCTTACACCTTAGTTCTGATAGCTTTATTACCAAGTTGGATATGACCGTACCCGGATACGTCTGCACCCGGCACGGGTGTGGGGGTGCGGCAAGCCACACTTTCCATCTAGTTTATAACATGTTGCCTAAATAGATGATACCTGGTTAGTGCTAGTGCTTAATATAATGTAATTCATGTGATCCAGTGCAATATTGTTTTCTATCCATATGATCTGTGAAAAGGATCGGGTTCCACTATCAACTATCAAGTGATAATGGAAGAGAGAAAAAATACACAAGCATCCTGAATCGCCGCGACAAAAGGCTAAGAACAACCAAATGGCACAGAGCTCTCGAGCAGCTAAGGGCCAGTTCTTTTGAGGCTTCTGGAGCTTATTGTGAAAATAAGTCAGAAGCCCAAAGAACCTGTTTTAGGCTTGGGGCTTAACTTATTTCCACCCCCTCTCCCTTACAATGAGAAAAAGCTGTGGGAAGGGGTGCTTCCCACAGAAGCCCGCTTAAAATAAAAGGGTAGATCTCTTTGCCACTTAAGTTCATGCATATTACAATGAAACTGCCACCGAGCAAGTCCCCACTCACCCCCAACTAGCCCGTACGTGGGGAACATTCACGCATCCCTCCCGCGCCATACACTCTCCCCCGACTGAAGCTAGGGTTCGTTCAAGGCAGCCGCCGCTGCCGCTCCCGGCCTTCCCCTCCAGTGACGCAGCAGCTCCCCGCCCTTCCCTCCGGCATCGCCGCTCCCCACCCTTCCTTCTGATGCCTCCGCTCCCCTCCCTTCCCTCTGGTGCCTCCGCTCCACACCATTCTGTCAATCGCCCCCACAGAGCGTTTTGATTTTCGGTTTGATATTTTTTTTGCCGCAGGTCGAGATGGCTGGATTTCGTCCATTTTCAAAAATTTCAGCTGAAATTTGAGTGAAATTTGAAGCAAATTTGCCAAATTTGACCAATTTCGACTGAAAGATACATTTCGCCCCACGCCGAGATGGCCGAAATTCGGCCGAAATCCGTTTTTTTGGCTGAAATTCAAAACACAACCCCTCACCCGCCATGGACAGCCTCAGCTAGCGCCATCCATCATGATGCTTCTCCCGCCCTATGCCGCCGGCTGCCACCTGTCATCTCGTCCCAGTTCGCTGCCTCCCAGACCGAGCTACCCCGGGCCAAGCTCCGGCGGTGTTTTGACCTCGACTCTGGCCATCTAGCTCGTATGTATGAACATTTTTTATTGAGACTGAACATCGACGACAGACAGCATTCTTTATTGAGACTGGAATTTTTTAGTGTGTGCGCTTGTGTATGTTATGTGAGACAATGAGCATATTTGATAGATAGTAATTGAGACTGAACATATTTGATAGTTGTAGACAGTGAGCATTTCGTATGAGGTGCTTTGGGCAGATTGTGCAAGTAGACTAGATGGTTTATATGTAGCCATGATTGGCATTGATTTGGTTAGCGCTCTAGGGTGTACGCTGTTA